CTGGACCAACTCCTGACAGCCGAGGTATATGAATATATGTACACAGACATCACAAAGGTCACAGAAATAACTAGAATATTATACTTGACCTAAACCATCAACTAACCCAATGACTGACCCAAACCAACCTGAACAAAGCTGTTCAGGAGGAAAATCCAGATATTCCACCCCATAGACTCTCTCCAGCTCCACCTGGGCATCTCCAGTCATTCTCAGACCCCACGATATTTACCCCCTCCAGTTAGTTCTTGGTCTGCCAGTAAATTCCAGAGGGAGACAGCCTGGCCTCCAAATCAGATGTTTGAACCACCTCAGCTTTTCAGGCTTTTGATAGTCAGCTAACTCTGAGCTCTCCCTTGATAACAGAACCCAGCACCTCCTGTCTAAGGCTGAGCTGCACCCTCATTCCTCCAGATGAGAACTCAATCTGTTGGTCTATCTCTCCATCCTACCTTCACTCCGTAACAACACTCACAAATAATACATTTCTACACTCAAGACAAAGTCTCACCCCCAACCCGGAGGAAGCACATTTCACTTTTTTCCAGTCCAGCTTATAAAAGTGACCCTGGTACCCCGTGCTTCCACATCAACCCCAAGAGCATTCTTCAGGGAACCTGATCATATGCTTTCTTCAGAACCACCAAGCATGTGTACTGAAGAGTCAAATCCAGACACCTTTGTGGACTCTGTTGTTCCTCTTCCATTACACATCTCCTGAGCTGCTGACTGAAGCTTGTGTCTATGTCCATCCAGGATCTGGAGAAGGTTCTAGATGTGTTCAACATCACTTTGGCCCGACAACAGGCCCAGATGGAGGTAATCACAGCAGAGCTGCTTTCACTTTGTGTTTTCAGGCTTGAAAACCGTAACTTGAAATCTTTTGCAGGTGATCAGATCAGGGCAGAAGGTGGCTGGGAAGAAGGCAGGAGGCCAGAAACAAGGAGGAGGTTTCTTCAGTGGCTGGTTTGGACAAAAGGCAAAGAAGGAGGAGCAGGAGAGCAAGGAGAGCAAGGAGCCAGAAAGTATATGGTGTTCTGATTAAGCCAGACTCATTTATGTTACTTGGTTTTCTGATTGTGTTTGTTGTGATCCAGGTTCAGGTCTGGACCAACTCCTGACAGCCGAGGAGAAAGAAAAACTGTACACAGCCATTGGCTACAGTGGAAGCTCCCACAACCTGACGCTGCCAAAACAGGTAGGCACACCTGCAGCCTGCACATTACTGTATAACAAATAAAGATCTATCCATCCAACCATCTATTATCTTTATGCGCTTTGTCCTTTTCGGGTCACGAGGATCACTGGTGTCCATGTCTAGCCATCACTGTGCGAGACGCAGGGAACACCCTGGACTGGTCGCAAATCATTCACAGAATTAAAGATCTAGAAGAAGAAGAAGATTTTTAATTTTTAACAAAACTATATTTACACAATAAGTTAACACAACAGTGTAAAAAAAAATGTGATCAGGACAAGCTTAATATTTACATGAGGAGCTTGTTGTATTGTAGTTGTCCCTGATCAGAAATGGTGCATAAAACCTTCTTAAATCTCCACAGTTTCACAAAGTTCTCCAGGTGTCCAGTGTCTCTGTGGAAGCAAAACTCCAAAACTCCACTCTGGCCTTGACGTTGCACTTCCACAGAGCCACGGCATCAAGTTGGGTCCAGCCTGCAGTCTGTCCCTGCGAGACAAGTAAACAGACATTTTTGCTTCGGCCACTAAAAAGTTTAAAGTTTGGGATTTAAACTTTGTGGCTTTGCTGTGATGTACTCCATTAATTAAAACTGATTTGGTGAAAACTGTGTCAAAAAGACTAAAGATCCTTGTCATTAGATTAAACAGAGCTGTCGGCTGTACACAATCTGTAAAAACATGAACACTCTCAGACAAACTGCAGAAAAGACACTCGTTTAAAACATCAGGTTTGATGACCAACAAAAAAGAGTTTGTTGCACATGCGCCATGAAGAATCCTCCATTGCTGACCCCAAGCAACGAAACCACCTCTCGGACGACTTGGGGCACACCCTAGGTGGAATAGTTTTTGACTTGTAGGCCTGTTGGACAGATCAGAAGGTCCACAGCCTACAGAGTTTATGGACACATTTATTAAGAATTTGTTGGGTCTTCAGGAGAAACCCAGCCTGGGCAGTGTCCACCATAGGCTAAGTGCTAATCCAAGGGAAAGTGAGCCACCATGACCAATAACAGTTTTTAAACAAGCAATATCATTCTGCACTGTGCTGGAGAGGCTTTCCCACTGCAGCACCATGAGATCTGGGTGTACATTTTGCTGGACTTCACACTGACTGTGGCAAGATGAAGGTTAGCTTTCATTCAGGTGATGGCACTCTGTGGCTGTGCTAATGCTAAATTTGGCCTCTAGTATCTAGCTTTACACATAATGTTGAATTGCCAGACCCAAACATTTAAAGACTCAGACCTAGCTTTGGAGTTAGTCAACAAGAAACTTCAGAAGAATTTGGATTTAGAGATGGCCTTACTTCAAAACATGTTGGAGCTCCTTGTGTTGGTTGGCAGATAAGATCTACACTTGAAGCGTGTTACATCAGCTGTGCGCTGGGCTTGTCTCTGGTCACAATCCTGGGTAAATTATTGGCTAAAAAAAGAGGCTATATAAGTACAGTTCATTTACCATGTGAGAACCTTTATAAATAAAAGATGCTCTTTTGTTTGATGATAATCCTACATTCCCGTTTTAATACTGGACTAACTTGTCTGCTTCAGTATGTAGCTATAATCGTCACCTTCAAGCTGTTAAGGACTTCAGTGACGATCAGGGAGCAGCACAGCGTGCCAGAGATCCTGACGATCCTGATGCTCAACCTCAGCACCAAAATATCTCAAAGGCCTGGAGCTCAAGCTGTCAGGTTTGTTCTCACCAGCATGAAACAATCCATCTGAAAATATAAACGTGTATTACAGCAGTGACTAAAAGTGTAGAAAACTGGGACACATCAATGTTCTTCTGAAAGATCATTGATCAAACGGCTCACCTTAAATGAAAATACAGTAGTCCCTCATTTATCGCGGGGGGATCCGTCCCCTAAAGCCCCATGATAAGTGAAAAACCACTAAGTAGGAATCGTAGTACAGTGGCAGTTTTAATCAGATTAATCACACTCTGGGGCTGTGATTAATCTAATTAATCACTATGCTTAATTTTGTAAGCTTGAAATGTAAATATGCAGGTTTTGTCATGATCAGCGGCCCCCGCTGGCCCCCCATCTGCTCACGTCTCTGCCCCTTCATGACATGCACGTTTTTGGTCACTCCTGCCAGTTTCCTCCACCTCCTGACTCCTCCATCCAGCAGCTAATAATAAAATCTGTTCTTGTTTTTCACTCCTGTGTCTGGCTTATACTAAATCCAAAACCTGCTCCTGACAGGTTTTCATAAAATGTTGAAGAAAATGTTTTATCGTCTCCAACCAAACAGTTTTCCAAGTTTTCAGACTCAGCAAGGTTTACAGAAGTCATTTTGTTTCAAACATTAATAATTTATAAATGTTTACTCAAATGTCTCAATAAGTGTCATCTACGTGATCAAAACATGTAACCCTTCTTCTTTTGATAGAAGATTTCTTGTTTCACCAAATAGATATTAAAATACAAAACAAAGAGCCTAAAAAGTCAGCTCTAAAGATAGGCAGGTTAGAAACGACAGCTCTACTGCTCCGCAGGATAGAGTCCTTTATAGGTCAAAATAGGTAATGTGATTAATCTGCATTATGTAATATTAATACGTCAATCTTTTTAGATTAATCGCATGCGTTAACACGTTAACGTTGATAGCCCTATTATTTACATACACACACACATATACATATCTATATATATATCTATATATATATATATATATATATATATATATATATATATATATATATAT